CTATATCGGATATTTGAGGGTACCATTTTGACATGAATTTTGAACAAAAATTATGTTGCCAGATTTTGATGCAGAATTGATAATGAGCCCAAACCATGAACAAAAAACCACACCACATGAAAATCGGATGAGATTTGACCAAGTTATGGGGGTGGGAAGTTTCGACCTATGTCTATATCGGATATTTGAGGGTACCATTTTGACATGAATTTTGACTAAAAATTATGTTGCCAGATTTTGATGCAGAATTGATAATGAGCCCAAACCATGAACAAAAAGCCACACCACATGAAAATCTGATGAGATTTGACCAAGTTATGGGGGTGGGAAGTTTTGACCTATGTCTATATCGAATATTTGAGGGTACCATTTTGACATGAATTTTGACCAAAAATTCTGTTGCCACATTTTGATGCAGAATTGATAATGAGGCCAAACCATGAACAAAAAGCCAAACCTCATGAAAATCGGATGAGATTTGACCAAGTTATGGGGGTGGGAAGTTTCGACCTATGTCTATATCGGATATTTGAGGGTACCATTTTGACATGAATTTTGAACAAAAATTATGTTGCCAGATTTTGATGCAGAATTGATAATGAGGCCAAACCATGAACAAAAAGCCAAACCTCATGAAAATCGGATGAGATTTGACCAAGTTATGGGGGTGGGAAGTTTCGACCTATGTCTATATCGGATATTTGAGGGTACCATTTTGACATGAATTTTGAACAAAAATTATGTTGCCAGATTTTGATGCAGAATTGATAATGAGCCCAAGCCATGAACAAAAAACCACACCACATGAAAATCGGATGAGATTTGACCAAGTTATGGGGGTGGGAAGTTTCGGATATCGGATATTTGAGGGTACCATTTTGACATGAATTTTGACCAAAAATTATATTGCCAGATTTTGATGCAGAATTTATCTAGAGCCCAAACCATGAACAAAAAGCCACACCACATGAAAATCGGATGAGATTTGACCAAGTTATGGGGGTGATAAGTCTTGACCTATGTCTATATCGGATATTTGAGGGTACCATTTTGACATGAATTTTGACCAAAAATTCTGTTGCCAGATTTTGATGCAGAATTGATAATGAGGCCAAACCATGAACAAAAAGCCAAACCTTATGAAAATCGGATGAGATTTGACCAAGTTATGGGGGTGGGAAGTTTCGACCTATGTCTATATCGGATATTTGAGGGTACCATTTTGACATGAATTTTGACTAAAAATTATGTTGCCAGATTTTGATGCAGAATTGATAATGAGCCCAAACCATGAACAAAAAGCCACACCACATGAAAATCGGATGAGATTTGACCAAGTTATGGGGGTGAGAAGTATTGACCTATGTCTATATCGGATATTTCAGGGTACCATTTTGACATGAATTTTGACCAAAAATTCTGTTGCCACATTTTGATGCAGAATTGATAATGAGGCCAAACCATGAACAAAAAGCCAAACCTCATGAAAATCGGATGAGATTTGACCAAGTTATGGGGGTGGGAAGTTTCGACCTATGTCTATATCGGATATTTGAGGGTACCATTTTGACATGAATTTTGACTAAAAATTATGTTGCCAGATTTTGATGCAGAATTGATAATGAGCCCAAACCATGAACAAAAAGCCACACCACATGAAAATCTGATGAGATTTGACCAAGTTATGGGGGTGGGAAGTTTTGACCTATGTCTATATCGAATATTTGAGGGTACCATTTTGACATGAATTTTGACCAAAAATTCTGTTGCCACATTTTGATGCAGAATTGATAATGAGGCCAAACCATGAACAAAAAGCCAAACCTCATGAAAATCGGATGAGATTTGACCAAGTTATGGGGGTGGGAAGTTTCGACCTATGTCTATATCGGATATTTGAGGGTACCATTTTGACATGAATTTTGAACAAAAATTATGTTGCCAGATTTTGATGCAGAATTGATAATGAGGCCAAACCATGAACAAAAAGCCAAACCTCATGAAAATCGGATGAGATTTGACCAAGTTATGGGGGTGGGAAGTTTCGACCTATGTCTATATCGGATATTTGAGGGTACCATTTTGACATGAATTTTGAACAAAAATTATGTTGCCAGATTTTGATGCAGAATTGATAATGAGCCCAAGCCATGAACAAAAAACCACACCACATGAAAATCGGATGAGATTTGACCAAGTTATGGGGGTGGGAAGTTTCGGATATCGGATATTTGAGGGTACCATTTTGACATGAATTTTGACCAAAAATTACGTTGCCAGATTTTGATGCAGAATTGATCTAGAGGCCAAACCATGAACAAAAAGCCACACCTCATGAAAATCGGATGAGATTTGACCAAGTTATGGGGGTGGGAAGTTTCGACCTATGTCTATATCGGATATTTGAGGGTACCATTTTGACATGAATTTTGACTAAAAATTATGTTGCCAGATTTTGATGCAGAATTGATAATGAGCCCAAACCATGAACAAAAAGCCACACCACATGAAAATCGGATGAGATTTGACCAAGTTATGGGGGTGAGAAGTATTGACCTATGTCTATATCGGATATTTCAGGGTACCATTTTGACATGAATTTTGACCAAAAATTCTGTTGCCACATTTTGATGCAGAATTGATAATGAGGCCAAACCATGAACAAAAAGCCAAACCTCATGAAAATCGGATGAGATTTGACCAAGTAATGGGGGTGGGAAGTTTCGACCTATGTCTATATCGGATATTTGAGGTTACCATTTTGACATGAATTTTGAACAAAAATTATGTTGCCAGATTTTGATGCAGAATTGATTTGGAGCCCAAATCATGAACAAAAAGCCACACCACATGAAAATCGGATGAGATTTGACCAAGTTATGGGGGTGGGAAGTTTTGACCTATGTCTATATCGAATATTTGAGGGTACCATTTTGACATGAATTTTGAACAAAAATTATGTTGCCAGATTTTGATGCAGAATTGATAATGAGCCCAAACCATGAACAAAAAACCACACCACATGAAAATCGGATGAGATTTGACCAAGTTATGGGGGTGAGAAGTCTTGACCTATGTCTATATCGGATATTTGAGGGTACCATTTTGACATGAATTTTGACCAAAAATTATGTTGCCAGATTTTGATGCAGAATTGATTTAGAGCCCAAACCATGAACAAAAAGCCACACCTCATGAAAATCGGATGAGATTTGACCAAGTTATGGGGGTGGGAAGTTTCGGATATCGGATATTTGAGGGTACCATTTTGACATGAATTTTGACCAAAAATTACGTTGCCAGATTTTGATGCAGAATTGATCTAGAGGCCAAACCATGAACAAAAAGCCACACCTCATGAAAATCGGATGAGATTTGACCAGGTTATGGGGGTGGGAAGTTTCGACCTATGTCTATATCGGATATTTGAGGTTACCATTTTGACATGAATTTTGAACAAAAATTCTGTTGCCACATTTTGATGCAGAATTGATAATGAACCCAAACCATGAACAAAAAGCCACACCTCATGAAAATCGGATGAGATTTGACCAAGTTATGGGGGTGGGAAGTTTCGACCTATGTCTATATCGGATATTTGAGGGTACCATTTTGACATGAATTTTGAACAAAAATTATGTTGCCAGATTTTGATGCAGAATTGATAATGAGCCCAAACCATGAACAAAAAACCACACCACATGAAAATCGGATGAGATTTGACCAAGTTATGGGGGTGAGAAGTCTTGACCTATGTCTATATCGGATATTTCAGGGTACCATTTTGACATGAATTTTGACCAAAAATTCTGTTGCCACATTTTGATGCAGAATTGATAATGAGGCCAAACCATGAACAAAAAGCCAAACCTCATGAAAATCGGATGAGATTTGACCAAGTAATGGGGGTGGGAAGTTTCGACCTATGTCTATATCGGATATTTGAGGTTACCATTTTGACATGAATTTTGAACAAAAATTCTGTTGCCACATTTTGATGCAGAATTGATAATGAACCCAAACCATGAACAAAAAGCCACACCTCATGAAAATCGGATGAGATTTGACCAAGTTATGGGGGTGGGAAGTTTTGACCTATGTCTATATCGGATATTTGAGGGTACCATTTTGACATGAATTTTGAACAAAAATTATGTTGCCAGATTTTGATGCAGAATTGATAATGAGCCCAAACCATGAACAAAAAACCACACCACATGAAAATCGGATGAGATTTGACCAAGTTATGGGGGTGAGAAGTCTTGACCTATGTCTATATCGGATATTTGAGGGTACCATTTTGACATGAATTTTGACCAAAAATTATGTTGCCAGATTTTGATGCAGAATTGATTTGGAGCCCAAACCATGAACAAAAAGCCACACCTCATGAAAATCGGATGAGATTTGACCAAGTTATGGGGGTGGGAAGTTTCGGATATCGGATATTTGAGGGTACCATTTTGACATGAATTTTGACCAAAAATTACGTTGCCAGATTTTGATGCAGAATTGATCTAGAGGCCAAACCATGAACAAAAAGCCACACCTCATGAAAATCGGATGAGATTTGACCAGGTTATGGGGGTGGGTAGTTTTGACCTATGTCTATATCGGATATTTGAGGTTACCATTTTGACATGAATTTTGACCAAAAATTATGTTGCAAGATTTTGATGCAGAATTGATAATGGGGCCAAACCAACAAAAAGCCACACCTTATGAAAATCTGATAAGATTTAATAGAATTATGAGGGTGGGAAATATTGATCCATGTCCAGGATAATAGCGGGTATAGCTCGTCCTTGCCCGTGGCACGTATAAAATAAATGTTCTCAAAGAGCTTTGCGGGTGGAAGTTCCAAATCGATGAAACACGTTTTTATTAAGTTTTTATGTAGAGCGTTGAAAATGAGCTTGAATTGCATTTTCCATCGAGGAAGCTTGGATTCTTGATCCTCATTTCCAGTTCCTCTCAAATGAATGTGTTTTTCATTACAGTCACACTCTCTGTTCGGCACTCGTATATGTTTTATTTGAACGATACAATCAAGAAACTGTTCACCACACGTGATATGGTCATTTCGCCCTCGGTGACTGTAAATTTTGAGAAACTGATCACCATACCAGACTTTTGGGACTATTTGATTTATAATTTCCTGGTGATACTGCACGGCGATATGACCGTCGTTAATCCCGACGGTTCACATGCTGAAAATGAAGATGATGACGAACAAGGGCCACCAAGCAATGAGCCAGCAGAAAATGAACCAGACAGTGAAGCACCAGGCGGTGAATCAGAAGACAAGCCACCTGATGGTGATGACGGTGGCGGTGCCAGGGTCAAGCGTCTAAGGTCAGGTTATCAGACTCATTTTAAAAAACGACAGGGCAACTTGACGCGCCTCGAAGGCCGTGTCTTTTTGCACGAGAACCTGTTGCTGGGACCGCCACGGTTACGCCAGATACGTGTACGCAAGGATAGCTGCTATGTGAGCGATGCATTTATACGATATTTCAACACGTGCTATGCCGAATTTTCACCCAGTGCAGAGGAGATTGTAAAGGAACACGGCGGTGCACCATACAAAACAATGGGCGAATTGGATTCGATGCCATTGTGGACAACCTTGGGCTTCTATCGTTCCGGTGGCTATACCGTCGATTTGACATACAGTAAAAAGAAGAACCTAAATACCATCAAGGAACTAATGAAAAATCATTGGTTGGATCGCGGTTCGCGTCTCTGTCTGATCGAGTTCAATCTGTACAACGAGAATACAGACATCTTTCAGAGCGCCAAGTAAGTCGAGGGTAGAATCGAATGCAGTTGGGCTCAAACCGAAACTGACTTCTTAATGCTCTTCTCATTTAACAATTGCCTTATTTTCAGATTTATAGCGGAAATACCACCCACCGGTGGGGTTATACCGCAGAGTCAGCTGCAGACAGTTAAACAGTTCTCTTTCATAACGGACAAAAGTCTGACCATGTCTGTTGTATATATATTCTGGTATATTATGGTTGTGTACTATAACATCTATGAGATCAATGCAATGCGTAAATGTGGTCTCAAGAACTATTTTAAATCCATACTCAATATACAGGATTTACTTATACAACTGGTGAGTTTCTCCTCAAACATAATCTGAGCTGACCTGAGCTCAAATAAAATAAACTCTTGTCACAGTTTTGTTACCTGGCTCTGGTCTATAATATTTGGCATACGTTCAAAATCAAATCTTTGGTCTCCAGAGTGCGATTCGAGGAAAGCTATCAGAGTTTAGATACTCTGTGCTTTTGGAATACCATCTATGTGGATATGATGGCCATTTTGGCATTTCTGGTCTGGATCAAGATCTTTAAATTCATCAGCTTCAACAAGACGCTCGTGCAGTTCACAACCACATTAAAGCGCGTATGTCTCCATATTTAATAAATTTCCATCATTTTCCTTTAGTTTTTCCCCTCCTTAGTGCTCCAAGGACTTGGCTGGTTTCAGCCTTATGTTTGGCATTGTATTTCTGGCCTATGCTCAGCTGGGTCTATTGCTGTTTGGCACCAAACATCCAGATTTTCGTAATTTTGTGACCTCCATTTTGACCATGATACGCATGATTCTTGGCGACTTTCAATATAATCTCATTGAGGACGCGAATCGTGTGCTGGGACCCATCTACTTTCTAACCTATATTCTGTTGGTCTTCTTTATTTTACTGGTAAGCGGGAGAGAATTATGATTATTGGAGAGAACTATTATTTGATCACGGATCTTATTCCTCTAGAACATGTTCTTGGCCATCATAATGGAAACATACAACACGGTTAAGAGTGAAATAACTCAGGGTCGCAGTCAGCTTGGCTCTTATATCTATAAGAAAGTAACTGGTTTCCTTTATATCGTCTTGCACTGCGGTCGTAAACGTCAACAACAAGCTCCAAGGCCGCAGCGACATGATGCTGACGATGATTTACCAGATGATTTGGCCTCCAGTCGCTACCAACAGCCCAAGGTTCAATTGCGCAGACATATGACGGAGGCAGAGTAAGTTTGCATATTGAAAACATGATTCGAATAATTCCCAAAAAAAAAAAAAAATACTCTTTCTACAGAGCACAGTACTTTGAAGATGTGCCAAATGATGTCAAGGACAAGGACATGTTTCGGTAGGCACAGCTTAATTTAAATATAGTTTTATATATTTAAAATTTCCCTTTTCTTTCCATCAGTCTTAACAATCGCGTTTCCCTGTTGGAGGAAATTTTGGAACAGCTGGTCACCAATATGGATGCCATACTGAAGCGTGTGGAAAATGAAATCAAGAAAAACAAATAACAATCCTGAAGCAGGAATACAGTATAGAATCTACAATATGAGTAGGTCAAGAGGTTAACCAAGAATTCTATATTAATTTGTGTTTGTGCCTTAAAGGAATTTGAATAAAATACGTGTATGCATAAGTCTGTCTTATTCCTTGAAATTTCTCACCTGTATCGAGTAAACTTTAAAATAAACAAATTAATTAAGTTCGGTCCGCTGAACACCCAAGCAAAGGAACCGCAAAAACCCACTACGCTAATCTCTGCCAAATCGGAAGCTCGCTCACCCCCCCGTCCTGCCTCTGTCCTGCCCACAAGGCCATAACGAGGTTTTAAAAAAGGGGACAACAAAGCGTTGCCACCAAATATACGTATATATAAGGGACCCAGTATGCTAGAGGACATGTGGCTCAGGCGGGGTGGGAGCATCATTAACTATCTGCGTGTAGCGCCCGCTTGCTGGGACTAGGGTATATGCAACACGCTCCAGCAGCCCCGTTGCGGTTGTGGCACGTGTGTGGCAAGAGGTAACAGCTGTGTTGAAAGCAGAAACAATGGAGAACAAAAAGGGGAAAAGTTATTAAGCAATTTGTATTTACAAATTGCATTTAAGCAACGTGTAAAGTAAAGAAATGTAAAAGAAAATATGACGTGCACGAAGGGAAAACCCAAATTTCATGGAATTAACAAATATGCAATAAAAAATTGTAAAGGAAAGGCTTGTGTAAAACTCTTTCCATGGAGCACACAATTATTTCAGGGAAATAATGTAACGATAATTAAAATACAAAATATAACAAAAAAAAAAAAGACTCAAGCATCTATTTCATAATTTTTACGCAAAAGATATATTTATCAGAGTACACTTTGTTAGACAAAAGCAAGATATTATATAAGATCTCAATAAAATCAAAATATTATAAAAAAAAGGCACTTTATAAAAGTGGAATCTCCAAATCAGGTGAAGTCCAAATACCTTTCATAGTAGCGCAGACAGTAAAAGAAATAAAGCCTGCACGTAATAATTCATAACATTTTAACAGTGCCGTCTGTAAAAATATGTATACCCAGGCGTAGCCCTAAACATGTCTCTTTCTGCCTTGCTCTCAATTCATTCTGAAATCAGCCTCAATCCAATGAAAACTACGCAATAAAATTATATTTCTTACCATAGTTAAATGAATGCCAAAACATTCAAGATAATCGAGTATGTACAAACTCTTACATATCAAGTAGATCATATTTAACGAGCATACACTCGTATTATTTTGCTTCTGTTAATACAAATACAAAATACAAATTGAAAAGTTGCCATCATCGAGGCATTTACAGTTATGTAAATACAAATGCGAAGCAGAGAGAACCGGAGCAGACAGATTGCGCTGGCAGCGCTGCCGGCGTTGCAAGAGCGCAGCAGTGCGATGCCGCCAATTGGCACTTGAAAAGGCGCCAATTGCCACAGGATAACTAACGAGTGGTGCGGCAGAGGGGGGTTTGGGGGTGTGGCAACGCCATAATTACTTACCTACATGCTTTATGCATGCACAGAAAAATGTTAAAATGTTTCTGCCATGCTGATCATAATGATCGAGATGATGATGATGATGATGATGCTGGGGTAGTTGGCAACGGGCCAGTTCGAGTGGCATTGCCTACTACCTCAGCCATAATGTACAAATATGTTGGCCACTTGTGCATTCAATGGGCCTGCAATTCGCCCAAACAACAGCAGCAAAACGAACACGAAAAAAGCAAGTGCTTTGTCGTTGCGAATGCTCAACTAGAAAATACCCCGCAAGCAACGCCATTGCAATGATTCCCACTTAGTTCAAATATATACATACATACATTCTTACGACACGCACATACACACACGCACACATACAACCGGTTGATTAATATACATATACGCCTTGAAGCATTGGCGATGCCTCCTCCTCTGCCTGCTACATACATTTTCACAAAACCATTATACCCTCTTCCACACATTTTCAATGGGCATAGGGTTACAAAATAAAAGAAGAAGTATTCGTAAAGTGTCTGCACACAAGCGAAAGCAATATGAAATTGACGCGTAAATATTAAAACAGGTAAATATAAAATGAAATGGCAAAAATTACAACTGCTTTTCTGCTATTTGCACACAACATAAATCAACACAGCTTTAAAGTTATCAATTCTATTAAATATATGTATGTATGTATGTACTCACCATCATATATATATATATATATACATATTTGTTGCTGTAATATTCTGAGCACTCGCGCTGACCGCTCTTTAATTCCGTTATTTTGCTTTGCACTATTCTTTGCGCGTCTCTTTCGCGCGCACGTTTTTCTGCATGAGAGAGCGCAGCCACGCTTTGCAATTAAAACCAAACACTAATAACAACTTTTAACTGCCTTTCATTAAACCAATTTTCACTTTGTTTACCACACACACAATTTGTTGAATTATTAAACATAGCAATTAGATATTTTACCACTTTGGCCACTGATAACCGCGATGCTGGTTCACAACTCGCCGAACTCGCGACTAATACTGTCTCCGCATAACATCTTACTGTTTAAGTTAACAGTGAAAACTCAATCAATGCTAAGATCAATTTAGGCATCTCCCTGATTTACACATGTTAAGTCCTTATGTTGCCAGCGCGTAATATTCAAATGTTACTGTTAAAGTTGGTTTTAAATAAAAAATGCAAAACAGACATGTTTTTTTTCTGTTTGCTTTTACAGTACTGCTTAAAGGGCTCTCAAAGTTAACAACCCGCCCAGATATTTACATGTATTTTTTCTAATATTATTTTTAGCAGCATTTTACATTGCATTTTACTCGCAACAAATTAGATTTGAATATAATTTTATAGATTTGTTTAAACACTTTGGGCATAAGCTAACAGTAACAGTTAAATAAAATGTTAAGCTGTTCAAGCTTTAACAGACCAGCCTTACAGCAGCCTGTTTGCTGCCCTTTCAGCCATGTTAAGCTGTTATTGTTTTTACAGCACAGACTTAACAGCTGCCTGTTAAAAGTAACATTCAACTGCGGCAGCAAAAAAACATTTCAATAAGCAGCTTAGTCCTTGCTGTTATGAAATGCAACAGGACAAAAGGATAATGCGTAATTAACTGGCCATAAGTTAACCATTAATTAAACCCAACTCATTAACGGCAAGTGTTTTTTTTTTATGTGAACAAAACATTTTATCATCACTTTCCTGTCAACATTTTCAATACAGCAAAATTGAATCAATGGAAAGGGACTATTATGTGGAGCATAAAACATAATATGTGGGAATAATGATGCTATTTATGTAGATGACCATTTGTCAACTATTATTCTGATGATATGCTCAACTTACCCCGTGTTTAGTCTAACGGGAACAACGTGCAGCGAATAACAGTGTGGGAAAATGCGGGAGTTTTTGTTCCACAGAACAGTCCATTTTATAAGCCAGACTCTTTACCAAATCTGCCGTTTCTGTGCCTTTGGCTATTTTGCGTACAATGAGGAAACGGAAAAGTTATATATTTGCCAGCATACGGCTTTAAGGAAATACACTACCTGGACTATAAAAATAGTTTTGTTGCTGTTCGACTATGTAAATTACGTTTATATGCTGGCTGATATTTGCGCCCATATGTTTGGTAACATTTCGGAAAAGAGCGCCGGATACAATTTCTATCTGGAGACCTCTATCTACGGTAATGTCAACTATCAGTGCCTGCGTATGATATATCTCCTGCACAGTTGGCATAATAGTGGAGCCTATGTGATCGTGATAAATCAGATAATGGAATTGCATAGAAGTATGTGCTCGACATTTGATAGATGCAATTTTACGCTTGAGCATAATATTCTCATCATTTCTGTCGTGGAATTCAGTTTGACTCTGCTTCAGATATGGAATCAAATGATGACTAGTTACATTCTTCTGGTGTTCGTCTATCATTTGGTCTTATTTGAGCTATTTTATTGGGCCTACTTTCTCTATCAGTTGATTTTGATTGCCTGGCACCGGATATTGCTCAATTTGCTCAGCTCCTATGCCGGGAAACTCAGGCCCAACAAACGTCAACGCCATCGGCTAATGCTCTTTTACGGCTTTTACTTTCGTATGTGCGCGATACACGGCCACATTACACAACACTGGCTGAAAATAGCGGGCGGCCTGTTCGCCAGTATTGCCATCTTATCGGTGGACATTTCCGAAGAACTATATAATATTATCTACAAACAAGAGAGTCCTTTGCAAAAGTGGAAATATTTTGTGATCTACAAAATAGGCAACTGCCTGGCACCAATAGTAAAAATTTTCCTCTTGGGCCTGTGCAATAATCGCATCGAGAAACTGACCAAACTTCTAGCTCAACAAATCTATCTGATTGAACTGTTGCACTGGAAGAAATCTCTGGACAAGTTGCCGTCAACTAAGAGAAAACCTTTTACCAGTCTGCTGGCTTCTAAGGTGAGTTAATTAACTATTCGAATGATTCGATAAATATTTCGATATCGTTACAGTTCAACTGTTTTGTCCTGCAGCAGCACACACGTCCGATCCGAAATCATATTTGGCACGCAGGACAAACGATAAATATCGAGTTTCTACTGTTATTTATATGGCTAGCTTTTTTAAATGCAATGTCAACTTTGCAGTACGAACTGACAAAGAAGTCAACTTATTTAACAGAACATAACTAATTTTAATCGAGCTGTGCTTCGATTTCCAACACTGCGAAATCCCTAAGGCGACCTAATAAAGTTCCGAGCGGAAATCTAATGTTTTTTTAAGTGTTGTATATTGTTAAAAAGTTTTTTCTGTTTATCAACAGTCAAATATCATAAAATTTAAATTTTTTTTTTAATTTTTAATGAGAATTCTCTTGCAAAGATTCACATCTGAAGTCGAAAACTTGTAAATAGCGAAATTATGTTTTTCAAAAAAAATATATTAAATTTGATAGTTTTAAAAATCTTTTTCAATATCAAAAAGAAATCGATAAAAAGGAATATCTACTAAAGCTGTTCGAAGCAATTGGAAAAAAAGCATAGCATACCTTACGGAGCAGAAATATTGTAGGAACCGCCATTTCCATACTAGATGCATTAAATCACAACTGAAATAATAAAATAAAACAGTTAAGCACAGATTAAACAAAATAATAATGCCTTAAAATTAAAAATTGTACTATATTTTCATATTTACCTCAACGAAAATATATTATGGCTCATTATTCAAATGATGTGCCCCATCATTAGGGCTCAACTGTTGATGAGCACACCACTCACTCATCCAGGACACTCTCGTGAGCCTTGGAAGTGGAACTGTAACGCCTTGAAAAGTCAGTTATACTCGATGGAGCACTTGGAGCGGTACCTATTCGAGTGGAGCGTTAGAATCTTGTGCGATGCACTCTATAGAGCGTGTCGCTTCGCCGGTTTCGGGCACTTTAAATACTATAGAAGAACTCGAAAATATTGCATTCATAAGCCAAGTCGAACATTTAAATGGTTCGTTAAGCTCTGTCTACTATTTATGGACGATCACAACATAATTGGCATATTATTTGTTATGCTAACAAACTTTAGCCTAAAAACGCCTTTGCCGGAAAGTCGAGACGGTTTTGAGGCGTTTTTGTTCTATGCGACGCTGCTTTTGGCCAACTGTCAGCTGTTGTGCCTGTTTTACCCGGCACACAGTCAAAAGTACAGTGAAGCCTGCCTGTTGGCTGTTAACAAACTAATTAAACTACATAGAATTGTGAGATTGAGCTGCGGAGATTGTAAATTTGCCACCGAAACTTGTATACTAGTGTTTTTTTTAGTACAATATGCTTTTACAACACTGCAGCTACTGCACGGCTGGTGGCAACCCTGGATTTTTACATACAATTTACTGTTATTCGAAATATATTTCTGTGCCTATTTTGTCTATCAGCTGCTGTTGATGGCTTGGCTCCGGGCTCTGTTAGCCCACTTAGGTGAATATTATTTGAATCCTCAACTTGGACTCTTTCCGAGCTCGCGCTATCGTCGACAGCTGATGCAGTTTTATAGGGTATACACACGATTGAATCGGGTTCATAGAAGCATTAGCCAACTCTGGCTGCAGGTAGCAGGCGTGCTCTTTGTCGGCATCCTCAAGTTAGCTCAAGACTATGCAGATGTCCTTTATAACATGATCTTTTATAAGAAACGGAATGAAAATATAATTATGTTCGCAATAAAAATTGTAAGCTCTCTGGCGCCCTTGATGAAAATATTCCTTCTGGCCTTGTGCAGTAAACGCCTGGAAAACCTCACTCAAAAATTGAGCCAGCGACTTTTTCACATTGAACTTTTGCATTGGCAATGGGTGCATTCCGGCGTGGAACTCGCTGTGGGAATACCCCTGACCCAGCTGCTCAGCAAAAGGGTGAGTATGTGCAGCAAGCTGAAGGGAATATCCTTAATGTACAATTTCCCTATTCTACACCAGAACTCTAGCTTTTATCTGCAGCTGCTTGTCGAACAGTTTCGAATATATATTTGGAATATGCGGCAGGCCATGAACCTAAAATTTCTACTCTGCTTTCTATATTTAGCCATCTTTAATGCCATATCTATGTTGCAGTATCGGAAGCTATATACGGACCAAATCTAACTATACTTTGTCAATATTAAATTAATATTATTCTTAGATTTAAGTTAATTAAATAAAAACGATAAGAATGTATTTTAAGCATTTGGGTTGACGCTTAGCCCTACGACTAATAGATACTCTGTAATCTCATGGAACTAGAGAAAAAGTTGTGATTGAGTCGACTAGTAGATACTCTGTACGCTCATACGAGTAAAGTAAGGTTATATGCATAAGTCGACTAATAGATACTCTGTACTCACGTGGAGCTAGACTTTGCATGAAGTCAGGTAAAATTAATTAGTCGACTGGTAGATACTCTGTATTTGGCTACAAAACTTATAAAGTATCCTAAAAAGCTTCTTCTTCAACAATTTTGTTCTAAATAAATGCCTTCGTTGCCCTTTCAAAGTGTTTCTAGAATTAGATATACTTAAAAAAAGAAAATCGATATTTATCGATTTTAGGCAGATATAAATATAATACTTAGTCTCTGGCATTACTTTATGACAACCATTTTGGTAAGTTTCCAATTAGGTATAGGGTATTAAAGAATGCGTGTCACCTTCTTAACATTAATTCAGTTTCCCATTTAATAAGATACTTAAAAATTAGGCTTAATTTCTGCAGAAGCTAAAAAGTGTTACTCAAATTTACTTTTATTTTTGGTATTTATATATGTGTGTGTATATATATATTTTTGATCAATAAATATGTTAGCATGCACATCGAATGCATTTAATACTCGTACTTGCTGAGCTCAGTGATAATAATTAAATGAATGCGCGGCTCTGGCAACTCTCTTAAGGTATTTCTTGATGTTTTCTTAAGGCACGTCGATTTTTAAAGAGTTGCATATTCAAGCTATGAAAATGCTGCTTAAAGTACTAAAAGACCTAAGACTAAAGAGCCTAGACTATGTGTTGTGGCCGCGGGGCTCACTTCATGTGCGGCGTCGGCGGCGTCAAGAGGGATAATTTCTCAAACTTGGGCATGGTCTGGACAGCTGCGGGCAACTCAATCAGCTCGGCGTCTGGATTGTACGGATAGTTGGGATTGGCGGCGGCCACATCGTTAACAGCAATATCATTGGACAGATCGACGGGCGCAAAGTTCTCATAGATGTCAATGTGATTATTCAAATCGTTGCCGGGATCCGCAACAGCCGCAGCATCTGCATCTGCCTCGGCATCCGCCTCCAGTGTGGCCCATTCATCGTTGAAGGTGTCGCTCATTTCGATGGGCGTCGCACGGCCATCCTCCTCATCGTCCGAGGACTCCAGCTCCTCGCGTTCCCTGTACAGCTGCGGCTCCGACTCCGGCTCAACGACCAACTCCGTGTCCGATGCGACGCCAAAGTTTTCAATGGCCACCAAGGACTCGGCCTCTGTCGCATTATGACTGTCGCCGTCGCCGTCTGGCAGCGGCATTTCCGTTTCCTCATTATGCGCCATTGTGCCGGCATCTTGAGCTGCGGCCAGCTGCTGCTCCTCCATCTGCTGCTCCTGCTGCTGCACATCTTCCATCGGGTCGGCCATTATAGTCTGTTCAGTCTGTTTGATGTCGGACGCTTCTGCGAGGGTATCTTCTATGGGCGAGCTGGAGGCAAGTGTGCTTGTGGCTGTAGTTGCTTTTGTTGTTGTTGTTGTTGTTGTTGTGCTCGTGCGCTGTGTGTGTTATGGAGTTGCGGGTGCATCGGTTGGTGTGTGTGCGTTCGTGTGTGCGTGTGCATGTGTGTGTGTGTTATGTAAATAAATGGAATAAAAGTTTGTATTACTTTCGAGTTTGCCAATTATGTGGCTAGTTTTTAGTACAAGTAGTCGCCGCATGCAAATTAATTAATTTAAAATGGAAGTCCATGTATCCGTTGCCGACGCTTGATACCCTGAATTTGTTTATATCAGGAAAACAGGAAATAATATACCAACATTTCATTTAAGTACGCTTTTTTGATTTCATGTAAAATTTCTTAATATGAAGATCAACATTTTGTCCGATAATTCTATATAGCAACAACATGATATATACACAGTTACAAAGCTTATGACCAAACTCAAATACTCTCTAACATACTCTGTAAAACTATTATTCTTACAACAACTTACAGACAAGACGCAGCTCTGTTACGCACGCACCGAAAGTTCCAACTAATTTGCTGTTAAGCAAAGCTTGGACTTTTATACATAGATTTAACATAGATTTAACTGCGCGGCTGACTCATACGTGAGAGCAGATTGTAAGCTGTGCTTTAACAGACAAAGAGAGAGATAGTGCGTTAGCAGCAGCAGCGGCGCTGTTAAGCTCGCAGCATTGCTGTTACTGAGCTGATGTCTAAGCTGCTCTCCCATTCTCGTCTGATCTGTTCTAACGCACGCTCACACGCGCAAGCATGCGCTCTCTCACTCACTCTCGCTTTTGTTATTCCACATTCATTTACATTTCTGCTTAATATGCATTGCCTCACGCATGAATCACCTTCGCGTCTGATAACATTTCGTCGAAATTTATTTATATACCTTGCCGAACACAATTAAGCATGCAAGCAGCTAAGCGCCCCCGGCCTGTCATTCACACTGTCTTGTTGGTCACTCGGTCGAACGCTGTAAACGTGTGACGTCACAAGTTCACATATTATTATTGCATTTGACAGCCGCCCCTCGCATGAGGAAATATAAATATTTCTATTCTCGGTCGTCTGCTCTGTAACAAATTGCACAAATTCGCAGAAATTTGTATTATTAATACAAAATACCAAATGCGCAGTTTATTTTTGTTTATTGCGCTCACTTAAGTCTTGAGATGATTTTATTATTATAACGGATGTAGGTGTTACCTACAGAAGATGCTCGGTCACAGTCGAGCAGATTGAGTCACGTTTTAATAATTGTTTCCGGGCAAATTCTTGAGAATTGACTATCTGATAAGCTAACTGAGAGATATCGCATGCGATCTTGTGGAAAGCTAAAAAGATCATCTTTTGTTGTAAAAGAACTGAAATTTCTGTTTGGAAAAATGTAGCTCAATATTTTGAAATTGTTTATAAATAAAATATAAAAAATATAAAATATTCATTCTAAGCGTTTAGCAAGTTTTGAAATTGTTAATAAATAAAATATAAAAAATATAAAAAATTCATTCTAAGCGTTTTGCAAGTTTTGAAATTGTTAATAAATAAATTAACAAAAATTTAGAATTAACAATTTAAAATAATTTTCAAAAAAAAAGGTGTTCTCCAGTAATATTAAAAATTGATAAGGAAATAGTTGAACATATAAAAATAAAATGCTATCAAAAACTTTAAAGTTTTGCACTCTTCAGCAGAAGTTGTGCTAGTAGATCTTCTGAAATTTATGACCTATGCTTGTCAATGCTTGATATGGGGTACACACACCCCGCCCCGCCCCCTGGACAGCCCCCACACATATGAAAATTTCTTCGCAGTTTAACGCTCTATTTTACGCTGCATATTTGATGTGTTTTTGTGTGGCAGTTCGCGGTTCCCGCTGGTTTTTTGCTCATTTCACGCACACTTTGTAGCACGCACACAACTGCTTCAGGCTGCCAAATACGCCCCTCCCTGCCCCTCCCCCACCCCCTCTGGTAAGACCCCTTAAACACACAGCCCACATAAAAAAGCAGGGCGCATAACAAATTGAAATGCAAGTGCACAAAGTAATTTTTACAAAGTTATGAAGGGCTTTGGCGAGTCGACAAACATATGCACATATATATATATATATATATATATATATATATATATATATATATATATAAATATATAACCTATATATGGTATTTGTGCAGTTTTTTAATGGGAAAATATTAATAAAATATCGCATTTGGCTGGTTTGTGCCACAGCGACAGGCAAATTGTTTAACAAGCTTCAACAGTTTTGCAATATTTCTGCAGGAGTTGGCCAGCGGGGTGGGCGGGTTGGGGCTAGGTAATGGTAGAGGTGCGGGGGAATATACTTTGTGTGTGTTACTTTATATTAATATTTATAACCATGCATTTTACAAATTCAAATAAATGCATGAGCCGAGTTTGGGGTGCCAAAACCGCAGCTTTCAATATCCGCGTGAGAGTTGGAAAACAAACCAAAACAAAAAAGAAAAACAAGTAAGAGGTTCCAGTCGGAAGCTCCCTACTAGGGGATACCCTGAACCCTCTTCTTCCAACATCAAATGCATATATATATATAAATTGCCCAAAAAACAGGATATCGATATCGATTTTTATCGATTGCTTGGAAACGGAGTAAGTTATCGATTATCGGAAACAAACTTGATCTGCGCGGGAACTAGGAGCATCTACATCTAAAATTTCAAGTCTCTAGCTCTTATAGGTTCTGAGATCCTTTGGCTCATACATACGGACGGACGGACGGACAGACGGACATGGCTAGATCAACTCGGCTATTGATGCTGATCAAGAATATATATACTTTATGGGTTCGGAGATGCTTCCTTCTGCCCGTTACATACATTTGGCTTTCGCACAAATACAATATACCCTTATACCCATTTTTAATGGGTTCAGGGTATAAAAAAAGTAAATAATATAAAAAGCAGTTGCATAAATTGAATAAATTTGTACGCGACTTGTGCAATAGTTGTTCCCAGCGGAAAAGCTACCCCAACGGCAAATGTTTTCCATTGTTTGCAAATTTAACAGTTTTTGTGAATATATCGTAATGTTGACATGTCGCACTTATGCTTTAAAGCTGTTCATAATTGCGCTTTCTACTGTTTTCTTTTTTTCGCCCTGGTCATTTATTAATTTTGCGCTGATTTATGTCATTATGAGGGGAAAAAAAATTGAAATGGCGACACGCAAAATGCTCGCAAGTCGCGTGCTCGTCGAATTCGATACAATAAATTCTCATAAATACAGCATGGGCATGGTCACGCCCACCGGCGCAAGCAGACGCCCAAGACAAGGATTTATGCGCTTGGCGCACATGACTTTTAATATAAATTAATTTTTATTATGGCTAAAAGTAATTAATGGACTTGAAAAACCGCATATATGATGCATGTACCGTTAAATTGCTGCAGCAACTGTAACGTGTCGCGCGAGTAGGCGTTGGGGGTGTGGCAAAAAGCTCATTTATAACGCAACTGTTTGTGCCAGCCAGATGGCAACCCTGTTACAAAATGAACTGGGCACACTGCATTTGAGGGCATTTCTAAAATAGAATCGCTTTTTTCTCAGCAACTGGGCACCAAAGGTTTTTTTTTGGGGAGCTTTAATAGTTTATTAAAGCTTTTGAGCAGAACTACAAGATCCACGCAATTACAATTTCAAAAAACAAATTTCCTGGCATGCCAAAGAATTGTTTGAAAAAAGTATAAGAGTTAAAAGTTAATGAGAAAATAAATAACAAAGAGTAATTATCGAAATATCAAAGAGCTTTAAGGAAAAGGGCAGCCTTTTAAAATTCCAATGCAATCTTGTTAAGCAAACACTTTCCATAGATCAAACAGCTTAAAAAGCTGCAGAAAGCTCAAATTAAACAGCGTCGTAAGATTAACAAATAACGCGATTGGGCTTTCGAGATAATGAATAATAAAAAAGCTCATTAAAGCTTTATTTGAAAAGTTTGTTTAAGCTTTATAAACTAGTTGGAAAACGTTAAATGAGGATTAAATACATTCAATACATTAATTACTCCATTAATTAAAGCTTAATAGAAAATACTTTTATGTTTTTTTTTAAATAACTTCTTCATTATAAGCGAAATATGTCAAAATTCAGCTAGCTAGCTTAAAAAAATGTAACCTGCAATTTTGTAACCGTCGAAGATCCCCTCAATTATGCAATTAATTTGTGCATATTTTATAAGCCAGACAGCAATTGTCATAGCTATATGAGGCTGGGAACCTCATTTGCCCATTTTTTAGCTTAATATATAATTTGTTTTTATGCATCCCGCTGACACATAATAAAATGTATAATTTGTTTGCATTAATAATTTGGACGCAATGAAGTCAATCCGAAAGCAAACAAAAAACGCAAACAAAAAAATGGCAACTCTCACACATCTATTACGCAAATATGTAAATTACAATGTTAAACAGCAACAAAAGACAAGTTGGTTTGCCTAATAAGAGTTCTAGACTGGGAAATACCCAGTAAACAGATCTGAAGAGTGACATCAAAATTTAAGATATGCAAAAATCGAATTCAAATATTTCGAAATTTAAGCTTTCATTTAGTAAAAAGCTTTCAAAATCGATAAGTATCGATCTTAAAGGCAAACATTTTGAAAAACTTCATATAGAATATAAACCAGCATCTGAAAATCTGCTGAAAAAGCTTTAATCGATATTTATCGATATATGCTTTGATAACCACAGACTGCTGATAATGAAGAAATTTTTATAACTCTGCTACACATTGTTGTTGAATGGTCTGCACTAACCTACTTGTAAATGCTACAGGGTATACAAGAGAAGAAAATCGAATTGTGTAATCTTGGAAATCGATATTTATCGATATATGCTCAGATAATCACCGACTTAATGCTGATGTGATCCCTGTTGCATACTGTTCCTTAAATTTAACGAACCCATTTGAAATTTTTACAGGGTACACAAAAGTAGAAAATTGTACACTGTTGGAAATCGATATTTATCGATATATGCTCAGACAACCATCGACTTAATGCTAATCTGATGTCTGTTACATATTGTTCCTTAAATTCAACTGACTTTGCTCAAACATTTAACATTTATACAGGGTATACAAAAGTAGAAAATCTAATTGTACAATTAAACATTTTGTCGTGTTAATAAAATATTTATGATTGCGGTGGCTGCCGGTTTATTGACCAGGCAAATAAACAAAACTTAATTATGGTTTCAGCAGCTGCAAAAAAAAAAAAATTATATACAAAATGTCGAAACAATTGAAAATTAAACAAGAGGTTCCAGTCGGGAGCTACCGACTAGGGGATACCCTGAACCCTCTTCCTCCAACATCAAATGCATATATATATTCTGTATTATAAGCTATATGTCAACTTTGGTGACTCTAGCTCTTATTATTTGCCAAAATTGCCCAAAAAAAAAGGACATCGATATCGATTTTTATCGATTGCTTGGAAACGGAGCAAGTTATCGATTATCGGAAACAAACGCGATC